CTCTTTAAGTTTTGGAGATGAAAATGCTAAATTTGAGAGTATTGGCTGGGAAGGGTTTTGTATGACAGGGTACTAGAAACTGGAAGTTAAGAAACTGGAAGTTAAGGGAATCCTGCAGGGCAATGGGGAGGAGGTGTGGTGAGTGCAGAGGAAAGACCCCTCACCTCGAAACACATGAGACTGAGTTCTACAGGGACAAGAGAGAGTGGCCAGCAGAGGAGGTCTGAGAAAATGGGGAGCTAAGACTCAGTCAGTGGGTGCGTGAACTGTGCCTAGCTGCTTCTCCGTGCCACATCTTCCTTTCAGCAAAGTTCACTTGACCCATAAAGACCCACGCTGGGGACGTGGTTTATTGGTAGAGTGCTTGCCTAGCATGCATGAAGCTCTGGGTTCGATTCCTTGGTATACATACACAGAAAAAGCCAGAAGTGGCATGTGGCTCAAGTGGTAGAGTGCTATCCTTGAGCACAAGAAGCTCAGGGACAGTGCCAGGATCTAAGTTCAAGCCCTAGGACTGGCAAAAAAAAAAAAAAAAAGACCTTGTACAAAAGGCTGGGGAGGGGTAACTGTGGGGAGGGAGAGGTGACTGAGATACAAGGTGAGCTCCGCTTCTGGCTGTGCAACAAGGAGCTACTACACCAAACAGTGAAGCCATTCATGAAGGAAGAAACATGAGTCTACAGCCTCGTAGGGATCAGCAGGAAACTAGTGTACAATTTACACTTGTAAAGGATTTGATACCCCTACTGTTAAGTTGTCCACAAGAGCTGGGCACTGGTGGCTCATACCTATAACCCTACTACTCAGGTGGCTGAGATGTGAGGATCAAGGTTCAAAATCATCCCAGGAAGAAAAGCTTGTAAGACCCTTTATCTCCATTAACCATCAAAAACCTGGGAGTATAGCTGTGGCTCAAGCAGTAGGATGCTCTCCTTGAGCAAAAAAGCTCAGGGATAATGCCTGGGCCTTGAGTTAAGCCCCAAGACCAGCACACCTCCATACACAAACCAGTTGGATTCACCCCATCTCCAGATGAGACCCTGTGGACCCTGAGGCTGAGGGGATATTCCACAGGCTGAACTAGTACCTAGGCACTGGCAGAACCAGGACTGGAACTTAGAGTTCCTGCCTCAGACTAGATTTACTCTCCACTCTCCCACAGCTGCTATCTGAAGAAATTATACCCTCGTGTGCAAGTCCCAGATACACAGAAGCTGAATTGCCTGTGAGCGTGAGGTCTAGCCCCACGCAGAAAGAACTCATTCTCAAGCAAGGCATCAACAGTCCTTAAGGGAGGGGCGGGGAACAGAAGAAAGGCTGGTTCACATAGTTAACTCCCTTGACTTTGGCAGATGCAGTCTGTGACCCCAATGGAACCTGAGTTAACACATTTCATTTCCTGCCTGTGTGAAGGGGGAGAGGAGGGTGTCCATAGATTATGTACATCTCCCTAGACTAGGGGACAGGAATCTGGAGGGCCAGCAAGGCACCTTCCACCTGCTTTACCCCATGTTTCCTAGCCATTGGTTGAGGGGAATGACATCTCCAGGACAAGGAGAAGATAAGATAAAGTTTGAGGGTGAAAACACCATGGAATCTTCAGAGTAAAATAAATTGATCACTTGTTGGAGGGGGGCGGGGGAGGAAGGTATACTTACTTCCCCAATTCCTGTCCCTTCTTCAATGCTAAGATAACTTCCTGCCAGTTCTTCCTCCCCTAGCCTTCCCATACACATTCACAGGAGAATACCTGCCTCTCAGCCCCAACGATGCTGCCAATATGGTAGAAGTTTGGGGAACACCTGTAGATTGGGGAGGGGGTTCAGGACCCCTCTATAGTAGAAACACTGCAGCTATGGTTATAGGATGCCTCACACAGCCAGTTGTGAGAGCAAACATCTATGTCACAGAATGAGGCTGAGCCTGGTGTCGTGGAGCTGACCAGATAAGCTCTTCCTCTCAGCACCTCTGTAATATTCCTCTCTGTAATAATGGCAAGCCCATTATTACAGTGTGATCTTTGAGAAATGGACCTCAGAGCCAAAGACAAAAATATAACTGTAGCCCAAATCCATGTAAGAAGAATCTCCCCAATCTCCTTGGTATGATGACCACCATCTGTACAGATAATCTTTTCACATCTGTGTAGGTTGCCTCCTGAGAGCTGGAACACGTGGACACTATCCCATGGAATCCTTGGTACTTAAGCAACACTGAGTCCTAGCTCCCTGAGGGCCCATGGATGGTCCACAATGGGGAGACCGCTGGCCCAGACCCAGCTGGTCCCCTCTGACTATCTTGCACCAGTGGAGAAAAGGGACAAGGAATATAGATGTCTCTGTCACAGAAAGAAGTTGGCTAGGTTCTCCTCAGGGATTTGGGAGAAGGGATGGAGTGCTGAAAAGAGCATGCAACCCAGGAACCAGCTAGCCAGGCTATGGGTTCAGCCTACCCCAATGTTGGCACTGGCCAAGGCTAAGACCTCTCTCGTGCCCCCTTATTGAGTTGCCCAGGTGTCTTCCCTGCTGTCAGACCAAAGAGGAAGACAGTTATTCCTTTTACCCGCTAGCTGCCCCTCCTAGATCCTTTCCTTACTCTTAATTACTGCTTTTACCTTCACTTTTTTTTCCTTTTCCTTTTTTTACCCATGGAAAAATATGCTAGCAACTGAGTTCAAGGGCATCTTCCTCCAGATTGGCAGGACTGCTTGGACAGTAGGGGATAGAGGCCATAATTCTAAAACAGATCTTGAGAGGAAGAGGTTTTATAGAGCCTGGCCAGCTGAAGCTGGTTCCACCCTGCCCACCACTTATTTATGCACACGGAGGTTTCTAGGCCCCCTCCTCTCAGCTGACCACCAGGGCATCGATCGCTCTAATGGAAAACCTCTGCAGTGGCCTGGGCTGCCTTGTCCCAGTACTTTCCTGTGGCTGCTAATTAGCTGATATCCAAAGACTACATCACAAATGGGAAACTGGAACCCAGGAGGCCCTGTAGAGAGCAAGTGGGGGCTGGGCTGAGCATCATGCCTCCCACTTCCCCCAACCAGACAGGAGAGAGGGAGAGGGGGAGAAAGAGAGAGAGTGGTTACCAGAGTTGGGAGCATAAGCAGGCCTAGATGGGCAGGTGAGATGTTAATTCTTTCCAGGAGAGGGAGTCTGTGCTTAGTGGCAGTTACAGAGGAAGAAAGGGCACCAAGATGGCAATCTTCTTCAGTGAGGGTTGGAGGACTTGACTTGGAGCTGTATTTGCAGAGCATGTGTAGTGTCCTGACTTTGACCGATTGGGTTCTGTGTGGCTGTGAGGATAGAGAATCTCTGGGTGCCCCAAGCCCCCTGCTAAGGCTTCCCAGGTTATCCTCAGCTTCATCATCGTGCTTTTTAGCTGAGAGCGCTTTCCTCCTGACAGTCTCCAAATCAACTGTGGGTGCAAGAATCCACTGCATGTACAGTATTTAGGGGGTCAGGGAACATACTCCAGGAAGATGGGTGGGGGGTGTCCCTCAGGCACCTTTGCATTTACCAGATGCAACCAGGTGAAAGTGACTGGCAAGAAAAATTCTGGATGACAGCTCTAGAGGAATACTTCGGGACAGAAGCCAGACCTGATGGAGAAGAGAGTTGGCTTCCTGGAACAGCTGAGGCAGAAGAGGGGCAGCGGTATCCTGCTAATAGTGCCTGAGTCTCTAGGCAGCAGTCTCGTCCCCACTCCCCAGCCCCCCCACCCCGTCCTGGCAGACAGCTTTCCACTGGCCTTCAGGAGCTGAAGCTCAGGCAGCCAAACCCCAGAGCCCTCACATAACCTTCATGCTGTTCCAAACCCGCAGTTAAAGCACCAGAGATAAAACTGAACTTCAGAGAAATTCAAGGGATCTTCATCCCATTAAATCCCAGAGAGAAATCTATATAAGAAGGAATAAAATTAAGCACCTAATACCAGCTGTGTAAAATTGCAAAATGCATGCAGAGCTCCAATTGTTCTGTGGTCTCATAGAGATATTAAATTATTTATCAAAATTGAACATCCTAGGCACTACCACGTGCATATGGTCTGCTGGGAACACTGGAGGCCCCTCTGCTCAGGGCAGACTCCTGGTGTGGGATGGGGAAAGAGCATGTGGAGGCATGCTTACTTTCCTAGAAGGGGGATGAGCCCTCCAGGGAACAGACAGGACAGCATCTGAGTGCTGAGCAGCATATGTTAGATCTGAAGTTGGCTTGAGACCTGCACCTGCAGCTTTGGAAGCTTCCTGTCAGTCCTGTGAACTCTTCCTCATCCTAATACTTCCCAGGCTCCTCAGGAATTGAAAAGAAGCTATGGACATCTGAAGAGCTGTCTGATGGGAGGGGGAGGGGTTGGGGGATGGAGGCTGCTCTGGTTCTCCTCTCCCCCTCACTTTTGACAGAACCAGTCCAACCCCTCCTCCACTCCAGCTTCATGGATCCTTTCCAGGTCCTCCACCCCAGGCGCTGGACTCTTCCCTCCATATAGCTCAAGGGACAGTTTGGAAAGATTTCCAACACCTCTTCCCACCTACACTTCCTGGCCCCTCCTCTCTCTGCTGGACTGAACCTTCGAGAAGGGTCAGTGGCTCAAGTTGTACATAGAGGTTGAGGCAGAGGGAAGGGAGACACTGGTGCCCCACTTTTGAGTTTGTCCCTCTAGACCTGGATGAAGGGATGGAATTGGCTGTGGGGGTCCCAGGAGGATATTGCTGGCTGGAGGTGGGACTTTTGGGGGGGTACCGTCCGGTGAAACTTGACCCACTACAGTGTGAGGTCTGCAGTCCGCACCCCGCGTCCCCATTCGAGGTTCAGCTCATTCCACAGACAAGGCCCTGCTGCTCCCAGGCCCGTGGTCCCACCCGGGCCCTGGGAGGAGGGAGTCCCTGGCCAAGCCCCCCATCTTCCAGGGTGACAGCAGTGGCCGGAGGGGGCTGGGAGGGCCCGAGGCCGGGCTCCCTCCCCGGAGGTCATCTGGGGGTGAAGGGACGCACTCACCGCCGGGACCACTTGGCCGACGGTCTCCCGAAGGGCCGCTTCCACAGCACCCCGTACAGCTGCACTTTGGTGCTGATGTCCAGCGCGTCCGAGTCGGTCTGCTCCAGGGACGGCGACGGCGACACCGAGTTGGACTTGGACGTGAACATCATGTCTCAGCGGGACGGCCGCCGGCGCGGGGGACCGGAAGGACGGCCGGGGTCGACGCGGGGCACCGTCGGGGCGCGTGCGAGCGAGCACCAGAGCGGGCGAGCGGAGAGGCCCAGCGAGCCGGCTCGGAGCAGCTGCATTGAAGCGCGCCGAGCCCGGAGCGCGCCGCCGAGGGGTGCGGGGCGCGCGGCCGGAGCCCGGGACCGAGCTGGGGATGGATGGCTGCGGGCCGGGCGGGAAGTCCGCGGGGAGGGCGGCAGCTCAGCCGGGAGCCGCAGCCTTCCCGCTCCCCCCCGCTCCCGCCCCCCCGTGACAGCCCCAGTTCTGGTGGCCCCGATTGGCTGGGAGTGACAGGTGCGCGCCAATCAGGGCGGGCGCGGACTGGAGGGCGTCCGGAAGGTCCCGGCCCCCGGCAGCTCCAGGATTCGGCCACAGCACCTCCCCACGTCCGCCCAGGCGCCCGGCCCCTCCTCGTGGAAACGGGGCTCCCTTCGTAGATAGCCACGATCTCTGCATGAGGGAGAGGAAGGAGCAAGGGCGTGGTGTCCTGGACTTGAGATTCCAGAAGAGCCTTCACGTAGTTCCCTCTGTCAGCGGAGGGAGCCTTGGTTTTTCTCTCCCGCAAAGAGGAAAGGCCCCCAAGCACTTGGCAGGCGGGAGGATGGCGGGGTACAACTTTGTACTAGTGCCCGACCCGAGACGACGTTCCACCAAGGTTGATGCCCCGCCCCTCCTCGCCCCGCAAGTGGGTTCCACCTCCGCCGTGCGGGGATCCCATGGCTGGAACTTGGCAGGCTGTGGCGGTGACGATCTTAGTCAGCGAGTGCAGTCTGTATTCGTGATTTAATCGGTGCACCTGGCAGGTGCTCCCTAGGGGATGCGTGCTCCACTTCCGCTCCGCCTGGCTCAGGAGCCTGGAAAGGCTTGCTTCTTCCAGGCCATCCCTGGGCAGTCACGATTTCACCTGTACCTTTAGGAAACACTTTCCTCACTGAAGATCTGTGATTCCTCACGTGAAGTAAAGAAGTCAGATTGGAGCAGAAGTTAACACATGACTAGCCTGGAGAGTCAAATCAGTTTACAGATGGATGTTATTAACTTGCCCCAAGTGAAAACCATGGATGGAGCCATATATAATGTCTCAAAGCACATATTGTTTTTCTATATTCACTAATTTTTTTTTCAGAACTGGAGATTGAACCCAGGGTCTTTTGCATCCAAGACAAGCCCTGTACATGAGCCACACCCTCACCTCCAAAAATAAGATCTTAAGTATTTATTTAATGGAAGTTTACAGCAGGTCACCACCATCCAAAGCAAAACGTGAAATATTTCTATCACCCCAGAAATTTTTGCCACCTTCCCTAGAAAAGCACCTGTGAATCTAGTCAGCAAGATGCAGAGATGCCACCATGTATAAGGCCAAATTATGAGTCTTTTTTGGAGAGCCAGAGGACTGCTGGTGGAATGCAGCTAGCGCTAAGCTTATATAGGCCAAAACCACACACAGGGTGTTGAATCAAACCCAACAAGTGTTACACAGGAGCAAAGCAAACCAGATAAGGACATTTAAACCTAATAGAAAAGCAAACTATCTAGGGAAACAATCAGGGGAAATCAAAAGCCAATTATCTAGGGGAAGTTTAGACACAGCCTCCTTACTTCACCTTGCACTTATCATCTGCAATAAAGTCCTGTCCCTGTGCCTCTGACAGGCAAGTTCATATCACACACTTCTTTCTAATGCAAGGTTTTTAGTGTTTAGATGGCTCCTAACTGGGGAATGGGTAGCTCATACTCCTAATCTTAGGAACTCCAGGAGCTGAGATCCAGAAGATTATGGTTCAAACTAGCCCAGTCAGAAAAGTACTTGAGCCTCCATCTCCAAAAAGAGCAAAAAACCTAGCTGGAGGTGTGGCCTAAGTGCTAGAATACCAGCTGAACAAGCTTGAGGCCTTGCATTCAAACTCCAGTACTAGCTACTCTACTGAAATGAGAAATAGCCTGGAGGGTCACAAACTCAAAAGCTTCCATGGAGGAGCCAGCATGCCAGACATTAGGGGATGGTAACATTTGGGGCAAATTCCTTTAGGCAGTGGAGTAATTTTAATACACAGTGTAAGAAGGGTTAAACGTGACTATAATGTATGTTATGTGTTTAGAAAGCTGGCACCAATGCAGCCACCTGGAGACAGGCCTCTGGCAGTACACAGCAGCCAATGTTCTATGGCACTGAGCTTCCCTTCCCCCCACCCCGACCCTGCCCCACCCCACCCCACCCCAGATTGTTCTGCAGCAGATTTTGGGTACCATTCTGGGAGCTTCACCTCAGAACTGACTCTCTGGCCCTCTTGATATCAATTTATTCCTTTTTTGTTGAATCAGGTCAGAAGCAGTTTTGGACACTTACGGCAAAGATAAGCTTGTGAGCCAGGGGGAAATGGAGGGTAGGGTGAGCCCAAAGATCATTTGATAGGAGAAATGGATCCCAGGTTTCTTCAATGGCAGAGAAACTAAACTTTGCTCATTCGGTCTATACCTGGAACATGTAGACAGACCTTGTGGGACCACTCAGTGTGCAGTGAAAATGTAAAAGATTTTATTGAGCGAAAAGTGCTGATGTGCCAGACCACTCCTGGAGTTGGGATCTCAGGAAATGCCCCGAGGGCCAGCTCACATCTGCTTCTAAGCATTTTGGGCTAGGCTGGAGAAAGGGGGAGGCTGGGTGTTGGTTTTAGCCAATGATTGTTACAAGAAATGCTCACCTTTACTTTAAATTTCCCGCCAAGGTTTTGCTGGTGGGAAGCAGGGGAATAGAACAAAGGGTGGTGATGGTCCATTGGGTTAGGGTTTGCATTGCTCAGAAAACAGCAGAAGCAGAGTTACAGTTACAGGGTTACGGGGTTACAGTTACAGTTACTAGCTAAAGTAACAAGTTACCAGGGAAGTCTTATCCACAGCATCCTTACATTTATATCTTAAAATCATTTATTATCCATTTTACATAATCCAAGTAAAAATCATAGTCCATCTTTATGTCCTCCACCATATCAGTGGCTAAGGCTGGGTAGCAAGACTGAGGGAGGCAAAGAACACATGTTCAACCAACCACTAACTACTACTCTGCTTCTGTAACCCTTGACTGACAGCCCAGATGCTATCAGGTCAGCTGAGGGAAAAGCTTTTCTGCTTCCACTGTTCTGCCCAGCGGGTGGGAGGGAACATCCAATGCCAAGACTTTGGAGCAGACAAAACAAGCAGGAGGCCAATCCAGGGCCCCACACCAAGTGGGTCAGAGCTGTCTAATTTCATTGGCAACAGAGGGAGACCTGCTTGCATGGAAACTCAGGGTCTTAACGTTGGCTTCACACCTACCTGTTGAATGTTAATTCAACTTACTTACCTGTTGAATGTTAATTTTGAACTAAGCCAGGAGGCACATACTATGTTTACTTTCCCAGAGGAGAAAAAAACACGTTAAAAAAAAGTTGTTTACTTAAGGTCACTCAGCTAGTTGCTAAAACATGATAGGCTCACAGGACTTGTGAAATGAGGAAAAAGTGGGGGGATCAGATGTCTTCGTTTGAATCCTAAGCCAGGATCCTTGCAGCTGCAGACATACTAAGTGAAGTACCAGTGGGGGGACACTAGACCCTTCTCAGTCCTCCTGCCACTGTCACTGATTCTCAATCATCAGCTCACCTCCGGCTCAGAGTTCCTGTAGAACTAAAGAGACTGCTTTGCTTGCATTGTACAACCCCCCGCCTCTCCTCTGGGCTTAGAGATGGCTCCTGATAGTAAAACATGTATTACATGGCTGCTTCACCTCAGCAGTCTAGGGGGAAGAACTGTGTGAAGCCTGTGTGACTGAACTCCCTGGTGAAATGAGGCAAAGGCTATTCAACCTACCAGAGCAAAAACATTCCCTAACAGAAAATTGTGACATCATGATGGGCTCATAAAAAATTCCAGCTGGGCGCTGGTGGCTCACACCTGTAATCCTAACTATTCAGGAGGCTGAGATCTGAGGATCGAAGTTCAACGTCAGCCCAGGCAGGACAGTCCATGAGACCCTTATTTCCAGTAAACCACTCAGAAAACCGGAAGTGGTAGAGCGCTAGCCTTAAGCTGAAGAGCTAAGGGACAGCGTTCACAACCAAAGTTCAAGCCCCAATGACAGAAAAAAATGTTTCCAGCAAGCCAGGCAGATGGTTCTTCCCCTAGTGCCACTTCCCCAGCTCCCTGCCCCTCAGTCTTGACCTCATTTTTCAGGTAGGAAGACAGGCCAAATCTTTTCCAATTATTTTGAGGTTAGTAGCATGATCCAGGAACACTGCTATTCTAGCTTCTTTAAGCTGACCCAGCACCAATGTCAGCCTGATGCCTGTGCTAGGTCCAAGCTTCCCTACAGGACCACAAAACACAAATGGAAAAAGATCTTGACTCTCAACTTGGCCCCGGGGCAGCATGAGTCTTCCATGGAACCTCCTTCCCTCCCCCCACCCCAATTCCATCATTCAGCTCCCATCCCACTGTGGCAACAAATTGAGGTGAAAAGACACCTTTCTTTTAGTTCCTGTGGACCTTTGCCCATTTAATTCCACACATCTAGACGTCTGTCTGCCTGGATTGGAGGTTTTCTCTGTGATTACTTCTCTGCTGATCATGGGCCCCTCAAGGGCTGGAGATCATGTTTCATGAAATAAGCTAGACTCAGTCTTTTCTCTCATAGGTGTAATCAAGATTTTAAAAAAACATGGAAATAGGGGCTGGGAAGGTGGCTCAGTGGTAGAGCGCTTGCCTTGCATGCATGAGGCCCTGGGTTCGATTCCTAAGCACCACATAAGCAAAAAGAAAAAAGCTGGAAGTGGCACTGTGGCTCAAGTGGTAGAGTGCTAGCCTTGAGCTGAAGAGCTGAGAGACAGCGCCCAGGCCCAGAGTTTAGGCCCCATGACCAGACCCAAAGAAACAACCAACCAACCAAAAAAACATGGAAATAAAAGGTAGACTATTTGGGAAGAGGAGGAGGAGGAGGCAGGCCAATGAAGTGTAGTATTGCCCCTATTACCTTCTCATAATAGAATATAA